CAGCTCCCGGAACTCCTGGAAGTACCAGTGTCGAGGCTTGGCTCAGGTTCGGCTCCTCTCCATCAGCATCTGGGTCCTTCTTCTTCGAAAGGGCTTCTTCTCTGGCATCCATCTGCTCCTCGATGCGGCCAAAAATTGCACTAAAAACGTTTATTGATATCCTTATTTGCCTAAGTAGTGTATTCATTGCATGACTTCACCCGCGAGAAGAAACACGTCCACCTTGGGGATCTTCTCGTGGCTTTGGGCCGGCTTCTTCAGTGCAGGCTTTCGCTTCACCTTCTGGTCCTGGCAGTGGCGCAAAAAAACGATGTAATCTACATAAAAGTTTGCTACCCCGCCTTTATGGCGGGCTTCTTCTGAAGGGCCATTGCTTGCACTAGCTACTTAAGCCTTGGGTTCCACAGCTCGAACTGCCAAAAAAAACATCTTCATGTTCATGCAGCTACCGGGCTCTCCAACCCGGGCCTATATCATTCCACAGACATGAACGGTGCTGTAGGGCTATCCAACCCATGCATAACATTTTGCCTTCGATCAGTCATCCAAGTCCAAGTCCACAACCCTCCTGAGCAAAAGATCCCACAGGAACCTATACTTGGCCATCATGGCAGCGGGAAGCTTGACAGCGGCGGTGCTATGCACACAGCTGCCGGCCAAATGAACCATAGTTCCCATGAAGCTCTCGGCACCGTAGCACCACGTCCTCATGAAGGCGTGCTTGCAAATCCCGTAGACGTGTTATGGACAGGGAAAATCTGAAATGCGGTCCAAGCTACAACCGCGGGTTCATAAACATGGCCGTGGAGGGCATGTGGGCAGTGAGGTGGAACTTCTGGACCATAGAATATCTCAGGAGCTTTTTCTCAAAGCAATGTTTTCCAAGCCATTGGTAGTGTTTCAGACATTTCTCCACGGACTTGCTGAATGCGATTTGGTCCTCCTTCTTCCATCTCACATCCGGCTGGTCCACCAAATCCTGATACATACAGTCTTCTTAAACCTATAGTTCGCGAAACTCTACACTTGAAACAAACTCTTCGGCAATTATTCTAGACATCCAAGGTGCATACATCTTCGCCAAAGCTTCAATGGCCAAGAAGCGATGCTGGGATTTTGGGTCCTCGTCCTCGGATAAGGTCCAAAAAAAAGGATCCTGTAGCAGCATCTGTGAAAACAACCAACTACAGCATGACAATATCTCAGGCAGGTTTCCTTGTACCGTTCTGCAAGCGACAGAGCAACCGGCACGAAGTGCCTAACTCGGCGTCCTTTCACATGTTTGAGAACCGGAAATACTTGGTTGGACTTCGCCACGTCCCTCCATTTCAATCTTCCGATTCTCTGGCTGGCAGCCACATGCAATCCTTCATAAATGGACTGTATTTCCTCATAAATCTCTTTCCAGCGGTCGTCCCTGTTTCCATGGCCTGAATCCTCAACCAAGTCCCACAAAAACGATCCGAGGAGGTGGCAGCTTATGCCCAGATCCCATGTGTGCAGAGTGTCCAAAGCAATTGCAAGTGGGTTGAGGCCAGGGATGGCGAAGAGCTTGTGGCCGCCGAACTCGTTGCAAAAGTCCTCTGCTGTCTTCACTTGCGTTCTCCAAGCAGCACTTGCTCTCAGGTCGTTCCATGGTACATCTGTCCTTCGCTTCATAGCACATATACTTGTCTCATACACACACACATATGCATATCTGTTTATACATGTACATGCATAAACAGATACATATACATTTACATATACATATACAAAGACATATACATATACATATAAATATACATATACGTGGGAAATAGCATAACAAAACATGCGAATGCACACATAGCATCTGGTTGCACCAGCACCACGGGCAGGGATGCTGCTGGTTGTGTCGCGGGAAAGCAAACTCAGAATAAAACCAGTCCAGGTCACCGATGATTGCAAAGACCATCCCAGTTCTATGCTTTGCCATCCGTTTGAAACTGTCCACGATGGCGTCCCACAGATCAGCCAAAAGCTTTTCCGTGACAATACATTTTGGAATTGTAAACAACACCTCAGTGAGGCTTGGACTTTAGCTATAAAAGAAACCACTATTTAATATGCATTCGGAAACAAAAGTATTCTAGACTTTCATGCCGATTAAACATCCAAGGCACCAGCTGGCTGTGGTTCACCGGTAGTTTCGAGGTCATACTCCTCATACTCACCGTCAGCAGCGAATCAGTCTCGGTGTGCGGTGCGGCATCACCGTGCCTGATTTTTTTCTCGTGACAGCAAAAAACATCCTGATGGGCTGTCCAACCATTCTGTAACAAAAACAATCCAAGAACAAAAAGAAGTCTAAGCCTATATCCTTGGGCTGTCCAACCCATTCAATCCAGTCCATTCACCGAAACTGAAAGTATTTCTGATCTTCATGGGTTCCTTAGCGATTGTTCTTCTCGTTACACGGGCTGTCCAGCCCTTCCAACCCTTTGGCTGTCCAACCCTTCTGTGTCTTCATTCCTTCGCCATATTGTTCTTCTCCTTACAGGGTCCTTCAGCTCGTCGGCTCCTATGCGTGGCTCGGCCTCGGTCCTCTACACCCACAATCCATTCTGTAACAAAAACAATCCATGGGCTGTTCAACCCTTCTGCATCAAGTCCATTCCTCATCCGGGGTCCCCTCCTCAAAGTCACTCCTTCATGCCTTTGTTCCACCCGATCATCTCGTCCTTGCTGGCTGTTGCTTCTGTGACCCCCCAAACTGCCTTCCTTCCTTACATCTGGGCTGTCCAACCCCTCAAACTCTTTCACATCCATGGGCTGTCCAACCCATTCAAAGAAGTCCAGAACCATAAGTGGCGGGTGTTCTCCCTCCAGATATTCTTGGGATCCCGGTCTGTCCAACCCCTCAAACTCTTTCACATCCATGGGCTGTCCAACCCATTAAAAGCAGTCCAGAATTCTCAAGCCACTGAGCCCATGGCACACGAGGCTCTTCCTCGTAGCTAAACCACAAGTGGCGGTTGTTCTCCCTCTGGGTTGTCCAACCCATCAAACTCTTTCACATCCATGTGCTGTCCAACCCATTCAATGCAGTCCAGAATTCTCGAGCCAGTCAGCCCATGGCTGTCCAACCCTCTCTGTAACAAAAACAATCCTTGGGCTGTCCAGCCCTTCTGTACCAAAACCATTGATGCGGCCAAGGTGCAGTGCAAAGGGCACGACGTGATTCTTGTCAGCGTCTTTGGAGAGGTTGCGGAAAAACGATTTTGAAGCTTGTATCCTGGGGTTGTCCCATTGCAACTGCTCCTTCCAAAAGTTTTCCACTCCATCCATGCCCAACACCTCCTCGAAGTTGCTGTCCTTGAGGGAGCCGATCCAGTCCTCCGGCAAAACAACAGGTACCTCTCCAGGGCATTCCGTCTCCGTTCCAGTAGGACTCTTGCCCTTCAGCGTGGACTTGATCATCCGGCACTCCGGAAACACCATGTCCTTGAAGAAGTTTCTCTTGAGGTCCCGTTGTATGTTGCCTTATACTGGTTGTCAAGAGAAACATGTATACATGTATACATTCACTTAATTAAGTCTCCATAAAGCTAAGAAACCCCAAAGATATCCTATGTGTAGTCTTACAATTTTCCATGGTTCGAAGTACTTAAGTTAAGTTTTGTTCATAGAGCTAAAGAACACCAAAAAAATCCAGTGTGTAAGAGTCCATGGTTCCAGGTACTTATACAAATACATATATACTGTATCTACAATATATTGTTGGTAGAGCTACGAAACACCAAACATAATCCAATTTGTAAAAGTCCAAGGTTCCAGGTTGCAGGCCGTCACACCCCAATCTCTTCAGTGCATTGACATCTGGTGCATCGCAGCCAGACATGACGGCTGCACTGGCCACTTCCTGAACCAGAACTGCTGGGATATCTCCACTGCTCCATCGTTTCAAAAGCAGAATAGCCAAAGGGGATTTCAGTTGCTCCTTCCTTGGTGGGGGGCTCGCTGCCCTCTTCCTCGAGCTTGCCATGGCTGGGTACAAGAGTGGGTTCGGGGATTATACAAAAGACATAGCATGCTGAGTTCTTTGCGGAATTTGCCAAACAGATATGGAAGTTACAATCTTTTCTTGAGGCAGCGATTACACGGAGCTAAAGGTTAATTTTTCGGGCTAGTGGGTTCGGCGGATTATCCAAAAGACATATGATGTTGGTGCTTGTTTCAAGGTTCTAGGCTTTAGGGAATTTGCCAAAAAGCTATGGAAGTTACAATCTTTTCTTGAGGCAGCGATTACACGAAAAGAGTTAATCCAAACTTTAAGGTTCATTTATCGGGCTTACACCAACCCAGCAGCGTGGACTGTCCAGTCCGGGTACACATAACAGGGCTTAGCCAACCCAGCAGCGGGGGGTCCGTTTTTTTCTTCTCGGATCGTCCTGCCGGCTCGTTGTTCCTAGACCTTCTTTTTGGCCTGCGATTTCGCCTGCTTGGCAAGTCCTAGTGCAGCCACTGCATCTTGCAAGGCAGATCCTACATCCTCGGCTTTCATCTTCACTGATCCTTTGAACTTCTCCAAGCAAGTCTTGGATTCCTCAGCCTTTGTCACTGCCTGGCGATGTTGTTGTTATTTCACTAATCAAGTGCACTGACAGAAAAACCCGGCCTCTTTGACAAGCTTGTAAAGCTCCTTCTTGGTCTTCGCATCCACGGTTGACTCCTTGATCTGAAGCATGCTGCTCTCCAGGTTCCCGATCTCCTTCCCAAGCTCGGTCTTGAACACGATGATCTTCTTCTCCAGCTCCAGCTTCGTAGTGGCGCTCGAAACCTGTTTGGGTTTGGTGTTGAAGGGCTTGCAACATGAAATGAAAGGGCTTCTGGGGAATTTGTGAAAAGAAGGGATTGGGGGGTTTTACAAAAACCATATGAAAGTAACGATCTTTTGTAAGGTTTAGGGTGTATGAAGAGTTTAAGGCATTCTCCAAAAGAGGTGGAATTTATGATCGTAGTAGGGGTATTTATGAGTTCTAGAGTTCGGGTAAACGGTTTAGTTTAGCATCTGGGGTTTGGATTTGATGCCAAGGGCTTACCAACCCAGCTAAGGGCTTACCAACCCAGCAACATGTGCTAGCTGCTAGCTTACACCGGCTGGCCTGGCTTTCATTCTCCCACTTGTTTCTTTTTTCTTCTTTTCCTCCCTCCTCCTTCTCCTTCCTCCCCCTACCCTTGGTGGTAGCCAACCCCAGGGGGTCCTCGTCCGGGTCGACCTCGTCGCCTGACCCCTCTTCGAAGTCGAAGTCATCCACCATGACCGGCCCCTCTTTCATTCCCCTTTTCCATTCGAGCATGTCCTCCTTAGTTGCCCCTGCCTCGGAGAATCCTCTCCTCTGCTGCGACTTCTCCGTCCAGACTTCGTCGGACTCTTTCGCAAACCTGTGCACTCCAGAAATTTGGAATATGGTTTCATGGTAGGATACCCTAATTTACCATAAAGGGTTAAGGATAATCATATTGCAACTTCTTGGCTCTTACCTGATAGATAGATATATATATATATGTATACACTGTATATCTCTACATATCCTCAAAGTAAATCAAAAACCAATGAAAAGTCCAGACACCTGAATTGGAAATATTTCTGGTCTTCTGGATTGCGGCGCCACACAATCGTCTTTCTCTGCACACGATCCTTGAGTTCCTCAGCGCCTATGCGGCGTTCCGCTTCCGTCCTTGAAAGCCAAATCCACTTTACTTGCTGCTTGGCCTAAGTTCTGTATTCCAAATAAAAAGATCCATGAAGTTTCATTATCCAAGGGTTTCATTATGCAAGGTTTTCATTATCCAAGGGTTTCATTATCCAAAAAAAGACAAGTTCATACCCTCAGCATCCTAGGTGCTCCGGTAGCATAGTTCTGAATTGCTTGCTTGTAGTGCTTCGTGAACTTCCCCCCGTCCAATATCCACGAGCTGAGCATCTTCCTTTTCTTCTTCGTGGAGCCCACCGATCCAGAGGCTTTGAGGAACTCATCCTGGTGGCCTTCTGCAATCCTACTGGTCTCGAAGGCCTTCCACAAACTCATTTGTGTCTTGTTGCTGGCATTCTTCATTGCTTCGTCGACTTGCTCAACGGTCATATCCTTCTTCCCACATTCCTTCATAAACTTCTGGTGGTTCTCCAAAGCCTCTTTGCTAAGCTTGGGGTTCTTCTTTTTCTTTTTTCCTTCCTTCTCCTTTGCATCCTCCTGCTCCTCTTCAGGGTCTTCCTCTTCATTGTCACATGGCTCCTTTTCATCTTCCTCCTCCATTTCCTGTTCTTCCTCCTTTTCTCCTCATCCTCATCCAATTCGGATTTGGGCTTCTTGTAGGGGACGATTTCCGTGCATGCGGCGGGTCTTTTGGCGGCGGGTTTCTTCATCACCGGCATGGCACTGCTGGTCCTAGAGGGGATCTGTAGCTAGAGTTTGATCCTAAATCCTTTGGTCATTCAAAAAAACATGCATGGGCCCGGGCTTTCGGTTGGGTTCGGGGTTGCGGGTTTGAGGGTTCAGGGCTGAAGCTGTGTGTGTGTGTGTGTGTGTGTGAATACACGAATAATGCATATGTACGTCGAAACATAGCAAGGGTTGGAAAGCCCGAGCAGCAGCAGCAACAAAGCTGAGATTGCAGCAACAAACACCAACGAGGTGGCAGTACACACAAAGACGGGTTGGAAAGCCCCAGCCCCCGGCAGCAGCAGAAAAAAGGGCAACGAGGTGGCAGCACAAAAAGACGGGTTGGAAAGCCCCAGCAGCAGCACCAAAAAGGGCAACGAGGTGGCAGCACAAAAAGACGGGTTGGAAAGCCCCAGCCTCGGCATCAGCATAGATTGTGATTTGTTTATATTTATAGTTCTTGGAGAACAGACGGGTTGGAAAGCCCCAGCAGCAGCAGCATAGATGTTCACTTCGATAATTAAATTTGTTTGGGAGAACACATATTCCATATCGTGGCATACATATTGAGTTTGATTAGTTTTATGTAATTGGTTGAATTTCATTTGATTCAGTCAATCCATGTCATTTATCTATTTAGATTAATTTAATGAATTTCGTTCAAATAATTTATGAAATTGAACTTAACTGATTTATTGAATTCAATTCATTTAAATACTTTAATTTATTAAATATAATTAAGTTTATTGAATGTATTTAATTTATTTAATCTATGTAATTTAATTTAGTTAATTCAATTTATTTAATGTGACTAAGTTTATTTAATGTATTTAACTTATTTAATTTATGTAATTTAATTTAGTTAGTTCAATGTATTTAATTTAATTAAGTGTATTTAATGTATTAAATTTATTTATTTAATTTAATTTAATTCATTTAATTCAACTTATTTCATTTAATTAAGTTTATTTAATGTAATTTAATTTAATTTGATTTAATTTAATTTAATTTAATTTGATTTAATTTAATTTAATTTAACTTAGTTAGTTCAATTTATTTAATTTAATTAAGTTTATTTAATGTATTTAATTTATTTAATTTATTTAATTTAATTTAGTTAGTTCAGTTTATTTAATTTAATTAAGTGTATTTAATGTATTTAATTTATTTATTTAATTTAATCTAACTTATTCAATTCAACTTATTTCATTGAATTAAGTTTATTTGATGTATTAAATTTGTTTAATTAACTTAATTTAATTTAATTTAATTTAGTTTATTTAGTTTATTTAATTTATTGATTCTATTTATTTAATTTAATTAATTTAATTTAATTCAATATATTTAATTTATTTAATTTATTGATTCTATTTATTTAATTTAATTAATTTAATTCAATATATTTAATTTATTCATTAAATTCATGCCACTTCATAAATATTCATATTTCTTCATATGATTTCATGGTTCTTCATGGTTCTTCATGGGTCTTCATGGCTCTTCATGGCTCTTCATGGCTCTTCATGGCTCTTCATGTTCCTTCATATGATTTCATGGATCTTCATGGTTATTCATATTTCTTCATATGATTTTGTATGTGTTTTCTTTTTTTTTTGATTATTATAGATGTTTTCCGTTTACATGATGTCATAATGTATTGGATATATTTAATTTATTCCATGCAAATATTTTAACTTTTTCAATTACATTCACTCATGTACTTCATTAATAGTGTATCTAATTTAAGTGACGTCACTGAATTCCATTTACAACATGTCATAATGTATTTAAAATATTTGATATATTCCATACAAATACTTTAATTACTTCAACTCCTTTGATTCATATACTTCATGAATAGTGTACCCAGTATCCAGTGACGTCACTGAATTCCATTTACAACATGTCATAATGTATTTAAAATATTTGATATATTCCATACAAATCCTTTAACTACTTCAATTACTTTGATTCATATACTTCATTAATAGTGTAACCAGTATCTATTTTAAGTGACGTCTTTGAATTCCTTTTACAGAATGTCATAATCTATTTTGAATATTTTGTTTATTTCATATACAAATACTTTAACTATTTCAATTACTTTTGATTCCTGTACTTCATTACTAGTGTATCTAGTCTAGTTGACATTATTGGGATTCCTAAGTAATAGGGTTCCTGAAGGGCTTTCCAACCCTTTTGGTTTTCAATGGGCGTCCACCTCTCGGGTTTGAGTTGCCGCTACTCATATTGAGTTCAGGCTTTATGCTGTCAATCCAGCCGGGCTTGCCAACCCTTTTGTGGTGGAGTACACTTTGGGGGTCAGAATCTATCGGGTTTTACTTGCCGGGACTTATGTATTATTGGCTTCAATGTTTTATGGGCTCAGGGTTATACATTTGGCTCCGGGCTTTCCAACCCCTCTTTCGGCTTTCATTTTCTCCACACGGAAGACCCACGGCGTCTGCAGCGTGGCTATCCAACCACCACGTGCGGAAGAAAAAGGGTTTTCATGGAGTGACACCTGAAAGTTTTCTGTAGCTGTCGTAGTAGTAGTAGTAGTAGTCGTAGTTGCAGTAGCAGTAGATATCCGAATAGCAGTTGTTCCTAAGAGTCCTAGTGGTTACCAGTCCTATATCCACCAAACACAAACTTCCTATGGATCCAACAAACCCAAACTTTCGGGTGTCACTCCATTCCGGTGCAACATCCGGTAGAGTCCCTTTGTTTTCGACCGGCCACGAAACGAAGCACATGCACTGTCGACACAACCCTTGCTGTCCTCGCTTCGGAGGAAGGACTGTCTTCCTATGTACGTGTACCTTCCACATTGCCGGCATTGGTAAAGGAAATCTCTCGGATAGTCGCGGTTGATGGCCTGCACGGTGCGGGGCGACAGGCCCTCATCAGCCTCGACGATGCTCGGTCCTGGAGATTTTCATGTTCTCCTATTCTATACTCCGGGCTTTCCAACCCACTGTCAGGGCTTTCCAACCCACTGTCAGGGCTGTCCAACCCACTCTTTCAAACCAATCAACAAATATCCAGGCTACAATTTTGTTGTCACTGGAGTCCTCCAGTGCCATCGTCACCTGGGATGGGGTTCAGCGGTTTCGGGTTTTGGGCATGGGGTTCCAGCAAGACGAGACACAAAAGTAAAAAAGGCTCACTTCAAGCCTACTGCGTGTTAGTTTTGGGCTTGGGGCTTTACCACACACAGTACCTAAAACAAACCAAATGTTCACTTCAAACCAAGGCTCCTTTTCCAGGTCCCTTGCCTTTGGCACCCTTTCCTCGGCTGAGTGCTCTGGGTGTGCACAAGGTTGGTTTAAGCACTAGAATTCTGCGTATAATCAAAAAGCTTCAATCCTAGAGTCCATGAGTCCTAGGATCCTTTTCCTCCATCTCCACCGTTGCCTGTGGCACCCTGTCCACCGTCTGCGTTGCCCTGTCCTTGGCTGAGTGTTCTGGGTATGCATTAGGTTGTTTTCAGATAAGTAGAAGTATGGGTTCTAGAATTGGGTTTCGGGTTTGTGTTTTAAGCTTCAGGGCTACTAGGGTTTAAGGACAAACCCTTCCACAAGATTAGGTTATGAGATTAAAACCATGCCTAGAAACCATCTCCTGTGGATCCTGTGGATCCGCCGGTCCCATCATTCGGCCATCCTGGCCATCCTCGGTTTGGTTTGGCTATGTGTATTCAGTATCCATATCAGATAAGTAGAACTAAAGGTTCCGGGGTTTAGGCATAGCAGGCTTTTGGGTTTGTGGTTTAGGTTTTACGGTTCAAGGTTTAAATTAAGGGCTTATAAGGACAAACAAATCCCGGAAGAAAGGGTTTAAAAACCAAGCCTAGAAACCATGTCCTCCGCCTCCCTGCTGCTGGTACGATCCTTGTCCCCATCCATGTCCTCGGTTCACATGCATGTATATGTATACATACTCTGTACTTAGAAAATGATATAATTGTCTATCATACTTTGGGTTCCCGAAGCGGCTTTAATATAGGGTTTCGGGGTTTAGGGTTTAGGGGTTTAGGGGTTTAGGGTGGTTTAGGGTTTCGGGTACGTATAGGTCCAAGAATCCATATCCTGCGGATCCGCCGTCACCATAATGCCAGTTATTCCAGCTCTGCCCACCACCTCCTCCAGGGGTTTGCGGATATATGTATAGCTAGACAGGGGCTCCATTCGGTTGTTTTTAATTTCCAACCAAATTCAAAAAAACATGTGATCTGGTCCTTGCCATCCGCTGGATCCGCCGTCATCATACCAGTTATTCCAGCTTGACCCACCACCTCCTCCAGGGGTTTGCGGATAAATGTATAGCTAGACAGGGGCTCCATTCGGTTGTTGTTAATTTCCAAACGAATTCAATAAAACATGTGATCTGGTCCTTGCCATCCGCTGCTGGATCCGCCGTCACCATGCCAGTTATTCCAGCTTGACAGACCAGCTCCTCCAGGGGTTTGCGGATATATGTATAGCTAGACAGGGCCTCCATTCGGTTGTTTTTACTTTCCAACCCAATTAAAAAAATGTGATCTATAATCACTGCCATCCTGCGGTTCCGCGGTAATTCGACCAGCTATTCCAGTCATCTCCTCCAGGGGTGTTCGTGGTTTGCAGATATATGTAAACCTCAATACAGACTTCATGCAGTTTCCACGAAATTATAAAAAAAAACGGTCATTTGGTCCTTGGTCAGCTCCCTGTACTGCATCCGTCGTGTCCATGGGTCCTGTCAGTTTAATATATAATAGTTCCCATTAGATTTCCAAACATCTCATCGGGTCCTGGTCCTTGCTGATCTTGCTGTGTTGGAGGCTGCGTGTCCATGGGTCCTGTCAGTTTTTACATTCCAAGAGATTTCAAAACAATTCATCCGGTCCTTGCTGTCCTTGCTGAGCTTGCTGTGTTGGAGGCTGCGTGTCCATGGGTCCTGTCAGTTTTTACATTCCAAGAGATTTCAAAACAATTCATCCGGTCCTTGC